GTGTATCAAATATAGAAATCCATGAACTGCAAAAAATACCTAGCAAAGAGATAGAAATTACTGTTCTAAAAAGTCATCTGAGGACAAGTTATGACTTACTTGACAAATATTAGGCTTTTTACTCCCACATATTTTGAGCAGGCACATATTGTACCTAGAATAGATTACAAGGACAAATTTTCCAGCAGTTTTCCAGTTGTCTTTCTCCCTTTTAACAGATGTGCCGTTTTTGCACAGTCCTTGGGAGTCAGGCTTGCTTCAACTACTGTATATGCTAAAGGGCTTTTTGGATAAAAAATTCTTCTGTTTTCTTCCACCAATTTGTGTACCAGTAACTCCCACCCCAACTGCTGTAGTTCAGAAGAACTGAAACACATAGCAGGAGGGCATTAAGGTACCAGATACACTGAAGTTTCCAAGTGCCTCAGTTTTAAGGGTGATGAACCTGTAGGATTTAAATTCCTTGCTGTCATATTTGCTCTTAGTTCAAGCTATGTTTAGTTACAAGGAAAAAAGTATTTATTTACAGAATATAGAACAAATATCACAGTTTCTAATGACAAGGCAGTATTTACATTTCTTGAATTCAGGTGAAACTTGTTCAAATGTCTGGGTGGGTTGAGTAACCTGTATATCCCACCCCATCCTGTGCCATAAATGGTTATATTTTTTCCCCTGAAAACATGACAAACATCTTACATGAATAAATCAACTTTATTTAAATAAAATTACAGGTGCATCTTGTCTACTAAAAACTACCATATAGTTTTTCAAAGGCTCTAATATTCAAAAATAATTTAAATTTTCTTGAGAGCAGCTACCTTTTTCTGAGTGGTGTTTGTAAACTTGTTAAACTTCCCTCCCCTCATTCAACTCAAACAATATCTGTTGCTAATGAAATGATGGAGGCTGTACCTTTTTCATTGTAATAGCTCCCACACTGTTCCTGGGAATCTCTTTTGAACATAGATTGAGAAGAATGGGTCGGGTGTCCTATGTAGCAAAAAGCCACCCTGAAATAGGGTGTTTCTTTACTTTGTGGCACCATAAATACATCAGGCACAAAACCCCCCTACGACACTCACTCTGCGTGTACTCTAAGTATTATAAATTAAATTCACGAGCCTACTGTTTCTTTGAGACTTCAGTATCTGTTTTCCCTTGCATTTCTTCAAGTTTAATAATTCAATGCCACCTTCTCTAACGCAAAGAGAAGAGAAAAACTTAACAAAGCAGAGGGACCGGATCCTACAACTCTCATTCATCTACCACAGTCCAGCTCTGCATTCCCTTAAGAGCACGTGGAAATATTTGAATAACAGAAGAAACACCCATTTGCAGCACCAAACCTGACAAACTGGCACTATTTGAACAGAATTTGTTGTCCTGCACTAGCATGTGTCTGAAAAAAATCACAAAATAAAATTTTTTAGAAGGAGTTGTGAAGGGGAGAGGCTGTTTTCTGGCACGACCACCTTACCATGGCCACCTTACTGCT